GGGATGCCTCTACCATGAGCTTTGTGTTTGCTTATGGAATAGCAGGAGGCTGTTGGGTTGTACATTAACAGTGTGGGGCAAACAAGGCAGGTCATAGCCCCTCTGGGATCTGAAAGGTCAGATTGCCTATTACTGTTTAGTTCTGGAATAAAGAGTCTCATACAAAAACCAGCCTAAGCCAGGTGGTAGTGGCTCATGCCTGTAATCCAGCAAGCTGAGATCTGATCAGCAAGGTTCAAAGCCAGTCTGAGTAGGAAAGTCCATTAGACTCTTTTTTTTTTTTTTGGTTGGCCATGGGGCTTGAACTCTGGGCCTGGGCGCTGTCCCTCAGCTCTTCAGCTCAAGGCGAGCGCTCTACCACTTGAGCTACAGCGCCACTTCCGGTTTTCTGGTGGTTTATTGGAGATAGGAGTCTCACGGTCTCTCCTGCCCGGGCTGGCTTTGAACCACGATCCTCAGATCTCAGCCTCCTGAGTAGCTAGGATTACAGGCGTGAGCCACCAGTGCCCAGCTTCCATCAGACTCTTATCTCCAGTTAACCACCAAAGAAGTTGAAAGTAGAGCTGTTGCTGAAGTGGTAGAGCACTAGCCTTCAGTGAAAAAGAAAACAAACAAACAAACTCAGGGACAGTGACTAGAGTTCAAGCCCTAGGACTGGCACCAAAAAAACAACCCAAAACCAAAAACAACAAAAAACTAACAGGTAGGCAGCAACAAACATGAATGATTTCTATAACTAGTCAGAAATTTGGAAGGAAAAAGAATATAGTTGGTTCCAGGGGCTGGGAAGGTGGCTCAGTGGTAGAGCACTTGCCTTGCATCCCTGAGGCCCTGGGTTCGATTCCTCAGCACCACATAAGCAAAAAGAAAAAAGCCAGAAGTGGCACTGTGGCTCAAGTGGTAGAGAGCTAGCCTTGAGCTGAAGAGCTGAGGGACAGCGCCCAGGCCCAGAGTTCAGGCCCCATGACCGGACCCCAAAAAAATTAAAAAAATATGTAGTTGGTTCCAAAAGGAGAACTAGTTGGGAGACCATGAGAATTACCTTTAAATTACATATCCTGTACTCAGTAAACACTATGTGGGAAATGAACTGTATATCTTGTGAGTGGGAATGGGAGGGAAAAACTGGGAGAGAGCAAGGGAAGGGGAGACATAGCTCAAAAAGAATTGTACTCATTACCTGATTCATATAACCGTAACCCCTTGTACATCATCTCTACTAAGTAAATAAATGGAGAATTAGAACCAATGAGTAGACTTTATGGAAGTTAAATTTGTGCTTGATATAAGGGAAAACTGGATTAAAAAAATGAAGCTGTATGAGAAGAATTAATGATATCACATTCCAAATCCTAGATCGTGGAGAAACGGGAGGGTAGCTTTTGAATTTCAGTGGGACCAGTTAGGCAAAATGCTGCTTCAAAGGAGATACCCTCCCTAATTGGGGAGTTTTGCTACTTTCATTTATAGCTTTCTTTCCACCTTCAAATAAACTTTCTCAGTTTATCTTAATAAAATTCTATGCTTCTCTGTCCAAACTTCAAATCTGTGGAAATGACATATCTCTCATTCTCTCTCTCTCTCTCTCTCTCTCTTTCTCTCTCTCTCTCACACACACACACACACACACACACACACACATGGAAATGAGATGGGTAAAGAAGCCCTTCCCTAAAAGAGAAGTTCCTGGAGAGAAGTCTCCAAACACAGGAAATGAGGCCCATGGTAATTGTTGGGGAAAACACTGCTCCAGGGAGAGATGAGGACAAGCACTCTTCCACATTGAAGGGAAGCTGACTTCAGTTCCACATTGAAGGGAAGCTTCTGTCTCTCAGGAGGGAGGGACAGAGACACAAAGTTTGAAATAGTTCGTGTTTGAGGAAACAGTTACAGGAAGCTGATGGCCCTTTAGTTGTCCTGTTGCAAAAGTCCAGATGAAACCAATGACCTCTTGTGTCTCCCAGGTCTGAGAAGCTATTGAAGCCATAAAAAGAATAGGATTTTGTGTGTGTGAAATGGTTGTTGCTAGCCTCCACTTTGCACCATTCCCACATCATCTTATATATTTCTTTTCTTTTCTTTTTTGTCAGTCATGGGACTTGAACTCTGGGCCTGGGCGCTGTCCCTCAGCTCTTCAGCTCAAGGCTGAAGAGCCCACAGTGCCACTTCCAGTTTTCTGGTGGTTAACTGGAGATAAAGTCTCATGGACTTTCCTGCCCAGGTTGGCTTTGAACCACTATCCTCAGATTTCAGCCTCCTGAGTAGCTAGGATGTAGCTAGGATGACAGGCATGTACAACCAGCACCCTGCTTGTTCTTTAGCTTGTTTGCTCAAGGCTTAGACTCTAATATTTGAGCTACAGCTCCATTTCTAGCTTTTTGGTGGCTCAATGGACATAGAGTCTCAGGGACTTTTCTGCCCGGGCTGGGTTTGAATCTAGATCCTCAGATTGCAGCCTCCTGAGCAGCTAGGATTTCAGGGGTGAGCTGCCACCAGCAGCTCTAAACCAGAAATCTTAAACAGCACTCTATGTTGGCATACTTGGTTAATATACATGAGGTCCCAGGTTTGATCCTCAGCAAAAATAAAATAATAGCAATGACAGTAAGACCAAACAGAGAAAGGCTATCTATGGACAGGTTATGCTTGCTAGGTGGAGGCTTCTGCTTCATACCATGCCCCATCCTTGCAGATGGCCCACTTTTCTGGTTGAACTGTTTGTCAATTAGTCATTTCTGATATGTGAAGCTCTCTGCCTAGATGTCCTCAGTTCTTTCTCTTTTTAGCTGTGCTATTCTTTTAGACACTGCATAGCCTATTTTCTCTGAACAATTGTGCTCTGCATCATAACCCAAAGAGAACCTTTTGGAGAACCTTTCTCTTTCAGTCCGAAGGACAATCATTTTTCTTGGTCCTCCTTTGAGATGGTGGATCTATTAGGATGGAGAGGGACTAGACGCCCTGTGGTTCCTCAGCATTGAATCCAGTGGGTCTGATACCCAGTGTATTAGTTTCTTACTGCTGCTGTAACAAATTGTCACAACTTAGTGTCTTACAACTATGCATACTAGCATAGTAGCTCACTCCTATAATCCTAGCAACTCAGAAGGCTGAGGATTGTGGTTTGAAGACAGCTTGGGCAGGAAAGTCTGTGAGATTATTATCTCTAGTTAACCCCTAAAAATCTGAAAGTGGAGGTATGTGTCCAATGTTAGAGCATCAATCTTGAATGGAAAAGAGCTAAGGGGCAGCATCCAGGCCCTGAGTTCAAACCCTAGTACCAAAACAAAGAAACAAAAAGCTACACATACTGATTATCTCCTAGTTGATAGAGATCAGAAGCCTGCAATGGGCCTTGCTGGGCTAAAACCATGGTGTCAGCAGGGCTGTGTCCCTGATGGAAACTCCGGGGACCATCCATTTCCTTGTCCATTCTGGCTTCTCCAAGCTCCCTGCATTCCTTGGCTCATAGCCTCTTCCTTTGTGTATCAAGCAACAAGTATAGTTTCTTCCAGTCTTTCTCTGACAATGCCTACTACTTTGTCTTTCAGGCACTACTCTTCATCTTAAAGCCAATTTTTCAGCAGTCCTCATTCCATTGGCAGCCTTATTTCCCCCTTAACAGAGGCACCCAAGTTCTTGGGATTAGCCTCTGGACATCTTCATGGGGGAAGTGCATTATTCTGCCTACCAAACCTAGCAAGCAGAATGAATGAATGAATGAATGAATGAATGCATAAGGAATGCATGTAAACTTTCAGAGGGTAGGTATTGTGCTAGCTATAAATAGGCAGAAAAGATTAAGTCTGTGACTTAAGGAAGGAAGTTTGTGATCTCTGAGACTCTGGGGGATGGAGAAGGTGGTTGGGAACCACCATTGCTCTCTTGGGCTCTCAGCTTAAGCATCTCTGACTCCTAAAAGCTTTCCCTGAGACCCAGATTTCTATAAGACTCCTTGTCTTTGTTCCCAAGCACATGCCTTGACAGACTCATAGGTCCTTTGGCTCAGAGTGGCACTTCCATGAATGCCTTTCTCTTAGATTTGAAGGGTCATGAAAGCAATAAATCATATTTTTTTGACTCATACAATCAGGCAGAGGGCCTGGCATATGTTAAGTTTCCAAATATGTATCAAAAAAGAAAGAGGGGCTGGGAAGGTGGCTCAGTGGTAGAGCGCTTGCCTTGCATGCATGAGGCCCTGGGTTCGATTCCTCAGCACCACATAAGCAAAAGGAAAAAAGCCAGAAGTGGCGCTGTGGCTCAAGTGGTAGAGTGCTAGCCTTGAGCTGAAGAGCTGAGGGACAGCGCCCAGGCCCAGAGTTCAGGCCCCACGACCAGACCCCCCAAAAAGAAAAAAAAGAAAAAGAGAGAGAGAGAAAGAAGAAAGGAAGGAAGGAAGGAAGGAAGGAAAGAAGGAAAGAAGGAAAATCAGGAGTCTGTGGCTCACACCTGTGATTCTAGCTATTCAGGAGGCTGAGATATGAGGATTGTGGTTCGAAGCCAGCCTGGCTACAAAACTCTGTAAGACGTTTATCTCCAATTAACCCCCCATCTCCCCCCCCCCCCCCCAAAAAAAAAGCCCTAAGTGGAACTGTGGCTTGAGTTATAAAATGGTAGACTTGAGCAAAGGAAAGCTCAGGGACAGCACCCAGGCCCCAAGTTCAAGACCCAGGACCAGCACACACACACACACACACACACACACACACACACGAGCAAATAAATGAAAGACTACAAGGTTTAAACCATCTACGGCTTGTCCTACATGGGGACTTTGTGACTGGGGACCTAGGCCTTCCACTGTGTTATGCAATGCTGGGAAGGCAAGTGGCTGATCACATCATCACTGGAGGCCATAACCAAGAAGTGAAGTTCTGCTGTAAGTACACAGAGTTTAGAGGTGGGGTATTTTGACAGAGTAAGAGGGTGATGTGTTGTTCCAGGAAAGACCGTCTGATTTTTCTCTGATGCTGACTGCGTTTGTCTCTGCTCTCTGCTAGGAGAGGAGACGGTGCTACCTCTGCTGACCCAGGACTCCAGTTCCAAAGCTCGGAGGGGCATTTTGAGAAGAGCTGTGTTTTCAGAGGATCAGAGAAAGGCTCTGGAGAAAATGTTTCAGAAACAGAAATATATTAGCAAAACAGACCGAAAGAAGCTTGCTGTCAATCTGGGACTAAAGGAGTCACAGGTACTAATGCATAGGGACTTGTCTCCTGTTCTGAATTTCTAAAAGGTAAAATGAAATCTGTTCATTTAGCATCTATTACCTGGGCTGGGCATAATGCTAGACCATGAGATGTTCCTGAAATGCTTTTACAATTTTTCTAATGGGTAGAAATCTCCATGACAGCTAGGTGCCAGTGATTCATACTTGTAGTCTCAGGAGGCTGAGATCTGAGGATTGGAGCTTGAAGCCAGCCTGGGCAGGAAAAGTCTATGAGACTATTATCATAAATTAACAAACAAACGGGCTGGGAAGGTGGCTCAGTGGTACAGTGCTTGCCTTGCATGCATGAGGCCCTGGGTTTGATTCCTCAGCACCCCATAAGCAGAAAAAGCTGGAAGTGGGGCTGTGCTCAAGTGGTAGAGCACTAGCCTTAAGCTGAAGAGCTGAGGGACAGTGCCCAGGCCCAGAGTTCAAGCCCTATGACGGACCAAAAAATAAAATAAAAAAGTATAAAGAAATGAAAGGCTAGAAGAGATTTGGTCTTTACTAACTGTCACTACAAATGACCTAGGGACCTTATTGAGTAATATCCTTGGGATCTTATTAAAACAAGTCATTGGGGCTGGGAAGGTGGCTCAGTGGTAAAGCGCTCGCCTTGCATGCATGAGGCCCTGGGTTCGATTCCTCAGCACCACATAAACAAAAAGAAAAAAGCCGGAAGTGGTGCTGCGGCTCAAGTGGTAGAGCTCTAGCCTTGAGCTGAAGAGCTGAGGGACAGTGCCCAGGCCCAGAGTTCAGGCACCATGACTGACAAAAAAAAAAAAAAAATTAACAAGCAAAAATCCAGAAATGGAGCTGTGGCTCAAGTGGGAGAGTGCCAGCCTTGAGCAAAAAAAGCTAAGGGAAGCTGGGCACCGGTAGCTCATGCCTGTAATCCTAGCTACTCAGGAGGCTGAGATCTGAGGATCACTGTTCAAAGCCAGCCTGGACAGGAAAGTCCGTGAGGGTGCTGTGGCTTAAGCGGTAGAGCGCTAGCCTTGAGCTGAAGAGCTGAGGGACAGCTCCCAGGCCCAAAGTTCAAGCCCTATGACTGACCAAAAAAATAAAAAAGTATAAAAGAATGAAAGGCTAGAAGAGGTTTGATCTTTACTATCTGTCACTACAAATGACCTAGGGACGGGGCTGGGAAGGTGGCTCAATGGTAGAGTGCTTGCCTTGCATGCATGACGCCCTGGGTTCAATTCCCCAGCACTACATAAGCAAAAAAAAAAGAAAAAAAACCGGAAGTGGTGTTGTGGCTCAAGTGGTAGAGCGCTAGCCTTGAGCTGAAGAGCTGAGAGACAGCGCCCAGGCCCAGAGTTCAGGCTCCACAACCGGACCCAAAAACAAATGACCTAGGGACCTTATTGAGTAATATACTTGGGATCTTATTAAAACAAGTCGTTGTATAAAACTCTCCCTAACTTTACTTCCTTTCTCCAAGGATGTGATCTGTTTCCACAAACTGCCTTTCGCCCCCAACTTTTACAACTAGAAATAAGCAGCCTGTAGTATACTACTGGCTGATTGATCAAGATTGCTTCAGATTGATCAAGATATCTTCTCACTCCACGGTAGAACTAATTGCTCTGTTTGTCACCTAAATGTACAAGAACAAGAGCTGAGTATAGCAGCTCATGCCTGCAATCCCAGCTCCTCCAGAGGTAGGGTGTAGAAGCATTGGAGTTCAAGGCCAGCCCAGACAAAAAAGTTTACAAGAGTCCCATCTCAATCAGTGAGGCACTGTGGCTCTTGCTTGTCATCCTAGCTGTGAGGGAAATGTAAATAGGAAGATCACAGTCCAGACTAGTTTGGATAGAAAAAAACACAACAACAAAAGCAAAAAGGACTAGGGGCATATCTCAAGTAGTAGAGCACCTGCTTAGAAGTTCAAAATCTTGTCCTAACTGAAAATAAAAAGAACAAGAAGTGGCTCTGTGGCTCAAGTGGTGCTTGCCTTGAGCAGAAGAGCACAGGGGTAGTGCCCAGGCCCTGAGTTCAAGCCCCACAACCGCCCGCCCCCCCCCAAAAGATAAAGAACTAAAATTCTCTCTCATTAGTGTATTTTTGTATACTAACAGATAAGATAGCAGCTATATTTTCTTTCTTTTTTTTCTGGTAGGTTGTAGGGAGCTTGAACTCTGGGCCTGGGCTCTGTCCCAAAGCTCTTCAGCTCAAGGCAAGGGCTCTACCACTTGAGCCACAGTGCCACTCCTGGTTTTCTGGTTGTTAACTGGAGATAACAGTTTCACAGACTTTCTTGCCCAGGCTGGCTTTGAACTGAGATCCTCAGATCTCAGCCTCCCAAGTAGCTAGGATTACAGGCATGAGACACCAGCGCTTGGCTAGTAGCTATATTTTCAAGGCCCATTTTGTTCAGGTAACTGCACCAGGTAGGCAGTAAGATACTGAGCAACACACATGCTTTGTATCCCCAGAAACACATACCCCAGTGAATGGGAACTCAGGAGAAGTTGAATAACACGTCTGTACTCCTAGCTACTCAGGAAGCTGAGATCTGAGGATCATGATTCAAAGCAAGTAGAAAAGTCCATGAGTCTGGTATTTCCAATTAACCAGTAAAAAGCCAAAGTGGAGCTGTGGCTCAAGTGGTAGAGGAGAGCGCTAGCCTTGCACAAAAATAGACCTCAGGGACAGCACCGGGGACCTCCTTTCAAACCCCAGCACACACACACACACACACACACACACACACACACAGAAATCTAAATTGTTAGCCAGACACCGGTGGCTCACTCCTGTCATCCTAGCTACTCAGGAGGCTGAGATCTGAGGATTTTGGTTCAAAACCAGCCTGGGGAGGAAAGTCTGCGAGACTCTTACCTCCAATAAACCACTAGAAAACCAGAAGTGGCGCTGTGGCTCAAGTGGTAGAGTGCTTGCCTTGAGCTGAAGAGCTGAGGGATAGCACCAGGCCCAAAGTTCACGCCCCACACCCCACAAGAAGGAAAGAAAGAAAGAAAGAAAGGAAGAAAGGAAGGAAGGAAGGAAGGAAGGAAGGAAGGAAGGAAGGAAGGAAGGAAGGAAGGAAGGAAGGGAAAGAAAGAGGAAAAAGAAAAAGAAATCTAAATTGTTAGAGCAAAGAATAAATATGATTGGCTTTCAAGATGTCAGAAAAACAACTGGGAAGTTTTCTCTTTGGGGATCCTGATGAAGTTTACAGTGGATAAAGAGTTTAATAATTGAGAGATAGTCAACATGGGTGTGCCAAGAGAAAGTATGGTTCAAATTAGAAACCACCACCACAAGCATTTTTGGCTTAATTGCAATCAGTTTTTACTTAGTGAGCTTAATGATCATAGTTTGATAAGTAATCAAAACTTGGAAACTATATAAAGCCAACAATTTATCAAAACATTGTAAAAATGTAGTGTGTGTGTGTGTGTGTGTGTGTGTGTGTGTGTGTGTGTGTGTGTGTGTGTGTACAGAACTTGGCCTAGGCACTGCCTCTGAGCTTTTTTACTCAAGGTGGGTACTTGACCACTTGAGCCATAGCTTTACTTCTGGCTTTTTGGTTTTTAATTGGAGATAAGAGTCTCATGGACTTTTCTGCCTAGTCTGGCTTTGAACACAGATCCTTAGATCTCAACCTCCTGAGTGTCCAGCTAAAATGCATTTAAACTCAGAAAGCTTCTAGTTAGATTCACTAGAGCCAGGATGCAGGATCCAAGACAGTCATGGGTTCTAATCTTAAGTGCTTCTATTTTACTAGCTGGTTACTCAATCCAAATCCAGAGAGTTTCCTTCTCTGTGAAATGAAGTCTTTTCATAGTCATCAGGGGGATCCAGGGATACAATTTGCCACAAGTGCATGGCCTAATGCCTAACAAAAAGTAGACACTAGTTAGTACATTTCATTTGAATAAATAAGTTCCTGCAGACTAAATGATGTTTCATAATACTTAAGAGCATGAAATCAGGCTGGGAGCCTTAGATACTCAGAAGGCTGAGCTCTGAGGCTTGAGGTTCAAAGCCAGCTAGGGCATAAAAAGCATATGAGACTGCTAGCTCCAATTGAACAGCAAAAATCTGGAAATGGAACTGTGGCTCAAGTGGTAGACTGCCAGCCTTGAGCAAAAAAGTGAAAGGACAGTTCCCACCCCAAGAAGACTAGTCCCAGAACTGGCATGCAAAAAGAATAAAGAAAATGAAATCCGTTTTGAAAGGTATCATATGTACAGAATATTAAGCAATTAGCTGCAATGGCACAGTTTTCAGAGATAAAATTTCTCAGATATATTTTGAAGGAGTCAAAAAAATAAAAAAAGACTTGTATTTTTCAATATCGATTCTCATTAATAAGACATTCTGTAGCTGGGAGCCAGTGGCTCACACTTGTAATCTTAGCTACTCAGGAGGCCAAGATCTGAGGATTGTAGTCCAGACCATCGTAGGCAGGAAAGTTTGTGAGATTTTTACCTCCCATAAACAACAACAACAACAAAAGCCTGGGCCTGGGAAGGTGGCTCAGTGGTAGGGCGCTTGCCTTGCATGCATGAGGCCCTGGGTTCCATTCCTCAGCACCACATAAGCAAAAAGAAAAAAGCCGGAAGTGGCGCTGTGGCTCAATTGGTAGTGCGCTAGCCTTGAGCTCAATTGGTAGTGCGCTAGCCTTGAGCTGAAGAGCTGAAGGACAGCGCCCAGGCCCAGAGTTCAGGCCCCATGACCGGGTCCCCTCCACAAAAAAAAACCAGAAGTGGAACTGTGGCTCAAGTGGTAGAGTAAAAAAAAAAAAAAAGGGCTGGGAAGGTGGCTTGCCTTGCATGCATGAGGCCCTGAGTTTGATTCCTCAGCACCACATAAGCAGAAAAAGCAGGAAGTGGTGCTGCGGCTCAAGTGGTAGAGCACTACTAGCCTTGAGCTGAAGCGCTGAGGGACAGCGCCCAGGCCCAGAGTTCAGGCCCCACAACCAAAACAACAACAACAAAAAAGATTAAAAAAAAAAAAAAAAAGCTCAGGGACAGCACTTAGACCCTTAGTTCAAGCCCCAGGTCTCTCTCTCTCTCTCTCTCTCTCTCTCACACACACACACACACACACACACCCCATTCTGTAGAATGGATTGTAGAAATAATTACAGCTTGAAATGTTAAAATAAGGAGTTGGGATGCTATGGAGGGTTCTGGGTTCCACCTCCAGCACCATAGAACGAATGAATGAATGAGAAAATGCTAAAGCTGAAATAATCATCTGCAATCAGTGATTTTGTTTTTGTCCACTTATTTTTTATCAATAGGTGAAAATTTGGTTTCAGAACAGAAGGATGAAATGGCGGAATTCCAAAGAGAAGGAAGTACTTTCCAGCCGCTGCCTCCAGGCCCCGAGCCTTCCAGAAGCCCCCCTCTCCCACGCGGCCCTGGGGTTCTCTTCAGTATGGGAGGTTTCCCAGCAACCCTCAAGTCCTGGATGGAGGGAGGATTCTCCAGAATCCTCAGAAAGACTCCTGCAGGGGAGTTCCCACGCCTCACCCCCGGAAGCAGATTGCCTGCCAGGTGCCTTGTACTTGTGCTCTGGGAGAGATACTGTGGACAAGGAAGACATTTCTGAAGCTGTCTGAATGGAAGCACATCCTCCCAGTTAATTTAAAAAGAACATGATGTAGGTCGGGACACCAGTGGCTCTGGCCTGTCATCCTTGCTCTGAGACCTGAGGATGGAGATTCAGAGCCAGCCTGGGCAGGAATGTCAGTAAGACTCTTATCTCCAATTAATCACCAAAAAGCCAGAAGTGGAGCTGTGGCTCAAGTGGTAGAGTGCCAGCCTTGAGCCAAAGAGGCTCAGGGACAGTGCTCAGACTGAGTTCAAGCCCCAGGACTGGCACCAAAAAAAAATTTTTTTTAACCAATAATGTTTGGAATCTAAAGCCAGTTAACTTGTGCCTCCTCCATACTTTAAAACCTAACACCCTTGGAATCACCCATCAACTAAGGCTCCACTCCAATGATCTCTTACTATGCTCTAATTGGAATGAAATCTCCTAGGAAGTATGACAGAAATGAAAAGAGCAAGCATTTGGTTTGGTCCTTTCTCTATATGTACCTATGCCTGAGTCTCTGTACATATAATGTGCATATCCATTAAAATACATTGGTAGCAACCATTTCACTTGAAATATTGCACTGAGCAATTTCTTTCTCTCTTTTTCTTTCCCTCTCTTTTTCTCTCCTCCTTCCCCTCCCTCTCTCCCCCCTCCCTCCCTCCTTCCCTCCCTCCCTCCCTCCCCTCCCTCTCTCCCTTCCTTCCTTCCTTTCTTCCTTCTTTCCTTCCTTCCTTCCTTCCCTCCTCCTTCCTTCCTCCCTCTCTTCCTCTCTCCCTCTCTTTCTCTCTTTCCCCGTTTCTCTCTCCCTTTCTTTATTTCTTTTTTCTTTTGCTTTCTTTCTTTTATTGTGCTGGTCGTGGGTTTTGAATTCAGGGCCTAGGTGCCATCTCTGAGTTTTGTGTTCAAGATTAGAGCTCTACCACTTGACTCACAGCTCCACTTCCAGCTTTTTTGGTAGTTACTAAGAGAGAAGAGTCTCGCAGACTTTCCTGCTTGGGCAGGCTTTGAACCTCAATTCTCACATCAGCCTCTTGAATAGCTAGGATTACAGATATGAGCCACTGAATTCTGACACTTTTTTTGAATGAAGAAAATTAAGTCACTGGGAGGATGTTACTAATTTTCTGAAAAGAATGTTAAATTTGGATTTTAGTGAAATACCACAAAATATGTCTTAACATTTTTATTCTATTTTCTGGTTTCTTTTGGAATCTGGTTTGTAGGTGATTTTTTTTTGGTCGGTCGTAGGGCTCAAACTCTGGGCTTGGGCACTGTCCCTGCGCTCTTCAGCTCAAGGCGAGCACTCTACCACTTGAGCCACAGTGCCACTTCTGGTTTATCAGTGGTTTATTGAAGATAAGAGTCTCACGTTCTTTCCTGCCCAGGCTGGCTTTGAACTGCAATCCTCAGATCTCAGCCTCCTGAGTAGCTAGGATTATAGGCGTGAGCCACCAGTGCCTGGCTTGTAGGTGAATTTTAATAGCTCAGTGATCTGAATCTAATGAGCCATATGAGAGCCATACATTAAGAAATAAACATAAGATAAACTTAATGAGAAAATTAGTATTTCTGGTTGTAGCTATTAGCATTCTTAATTTCCAAGTCTCTGGGTTTTAAAAGGCCATGCCTGAGAAAGGCACTTAATGAACTGCTAATTGTTTTTTCCTCTATCTTCTGTAAGGATAGGGCTGGGCCATTGCAGAATAAAATTAATGTCTTCAAGGGCCTGTTACATAAGTAGAAGTCAGATCTTTGTTATTTGAGTGTAGCTATGCCCTTGTGGCTCATGCCTGTCATCCTACTTATTCATGAGACTGAGATCTGAGGATTACAGTTCAAAGCCAGCCTGTGCAGAATAGTCTGACAGACTCTTATCTCCAATTAACCAGCAAAAAGCCACCAGTGGAGCTGAGGCTTAAATGGTAGAGTGCTAGCCTTGAGTGAAAAAGCAAAGGGACAGTGCCCAGGCTCTTAGTTCAAGACTTAGGCCTGCCTCTACTCCCCAAATTGAATTCAGTAATTTTTCTAATATCATGTTGGCCCAAACAGAACATCTATGCTCAATAGTTAGTAACTTCTAGTCAAGAATCAAAGAGCCATGGTGTTACAATTCTTAAAATATGTCCAACTGGATTTACAAACCAATACTGGTGAAATCTATGCTCATTTCTGTTTCCACTTCTAATTTAGGGCCCAATTTTCCACTTACTCAGCCCAGTCTACATTTATTAGGTTATTTTATGTATTCACAAACACCACACAGATGTTTTCTGTTGTTTGACTACCTTGAAATAGTATTTTTTTTAAAAAAAATTACATTTCTGGTAACAATTTGCTTAGTTAATCCAGATATTTTAATTCCAAGTTGAAGGGGAAAAAATGAGGTTTCACTTTGAAGGAAATGAAGCAGAAAAAGGAAATTATGTGGTTTTGAATTAAACTGCTATTAATCTGAAGAGAAGAAACATTTCTAGTTCATTATATGGCATTTTAAAAAAGTCAGCAAGCTAGGGATTAGTATTTGCTCACCTTCCTTGCTATCAACTTTATGGTAATACTTCAAAAGGTGGTAGCCTCATCCACATCGGGACTTTGCTTTCTTTTTTAAAATTGTTTTTAATGCCAATACTGGGGCTTGAACTCAGAATCTGGGCACTGTCTCTTAGCATTTTTCCTCAAAGCTGGCACTCTAGCCCTTGAACCATGCCTTTACTTCTAGCTTTTTGCTGGTTAAATTGGAGATAAGAATCTCAAGGAGGGGTTGGGCAGGTGGCTCATTGGTAGAGTGCTTGCCTTGTATGCATGAGGCCCTGGGTTCAATTCTTCAGCACCACATAAGCAAAAAGAAAAAAACTGGAATTGGTGTTGTGGCTCAAGTGGTAGAGCGCTAGCCTTGAGCTGAAGAGCTGAGGGACAGTGCCCAGGCCCAGAGTTCAGGCCCTACGACTGGACCCCCCGCCCCCCAGCAAAAAAAAGAATCTCAAGGACTTTCCTGCCTTGGGTGGCTTTAAACTGTGATCCTTAAAATGCAGCCTCCTCAGTAGCTAGGATTACAGGTGTGAGCCACTAGTGCCCAGCATGGAATCTGTTGTGAAACAGAATTTGAATTGTTATACATTAACTGGTATGTTTGTCACAATTGTCACTAAGAAGCCTGGTCTTGTGGAGAGGGGACAAGGATTTGCTGACAACATTTTCAACTATTTTTTTTTTTTTTGTCCCAAACTGGGACTTGAACTTGCTATCCCGACACTTATTTTGATTTTTACTCACTGGCTGGTGCCCTATCACCTGAGCCACATCTCCAACCTGAATTTTAATTTTAAAGCCTTTAAAGTAATCTACAATATGTTTTCTCTTTTATTGCATAATGTTAGCTTCATTTTACATTTATAGGGTGCACTCTTTGTGGTAGAGATGAGTAATATGAAGAGCATTGATTTATTTAATCCTCCTGGCAACAATAACTGTATAATAGAGACAGGACTATTGTAAGGTTTCTCCTTCTTCTCCTTCTCCTTTTTCCTTCTTCCTTCCTCCTCCTCCCCCATCTTCCCCTTCCTCTCCCCTCCCTCTCCCTCATCCCTTTCCCCCTCCCCTTTTACTCCCCCTCCCCTTCTTCTTCCTCCTTCTCCTTTTCTTGTTCTTGTTCTCCTCCTCTTCCTCCTCCTCCTCCTCCTCCTCCTCCTCCTCCTCCTCCTCCTTCTTCTTCCTCTCCTCCTCCTCCTCCTCCTCCTCCTCCTCCTCCTCCTCCTCCTCCTCCACTTAAACTCAGCCTGGTTGCTGTCCCTGAGCATTTTCACTCAATATTGGTTCTTTACCATTGGAAGCACAGCTCTACTTGCATCTTCTTGCTGGTTAATTGGAGGTAAGAGCGGCATGAACTTTCCTACCCAGGCTGGCTTTGACTGTGATCCTCAGATCTCAGCCTCCTGAGTAGCTAGGATTACAAATTTGAGCCGCCAGTGCATAGCTTCTGTCTCTCATTTTTACCTTTCTTAATCTCAGTGGGAAGAAAGGGAAAAAGCAAAGAATGCAAGAGGGAGAAATTAGGATGACAAATGTTTTCCAATATATAAATAAAACGTGGCAGAATAAATTTATATCTTTTCAAACTTTCTGAAGTAAGTACCATAAAAAAAAAACATTATATTGGGGGAAAGCTGAGGGAGCAAGAGAAAGAAGGGGTAATATTGTCCAAAAAAGAAAAGAAACAAAAGAAATATACTCATTACCTGACTTAGGAAATGTTAACCCTTCTTCATAATACCTTAAGAAAAAGACATGGGCTGGGAAGGTGGCTCAGTGGTAGAGCGCTTGCCTTGCATGCCTGAGTTCAGGCCCCACGACCGGACCCCCCCCGCCCCAAAAAAAGAAAGACAGAACTACAGAATCAGTTTTTAAAAACCTCCTCATTTAGCCATTAAAAAGAAAAAAAAAAGAAAACATTATATGTAGCCAAGAACCAGTGGCTCATGACTGCAATCCTACCTATTCAGGAGGCTGAGACCTAAAGATCTTGGTTTGAAGCCAGGGTAGGAAAGTCTGTGAGACTCTTATCTCCAAGTAACCACCAGAAAACCAGAAGTGACGCCGTGGCTCAAAGTGGTAGAGAGCTAGTCTTGAGAGAGAAAAAAATCTGAGACAGTGCCTAGACCCTGAGTTCAAGCCACACAGCTAAAAAAAAAAAGGAAACCATATGTCTGATAAGTATGGTTTAAGCTCCAGCTATTACTTGGGCTGCATTAGATTGCATTATCATTTTTATTTTTATTTGTGATAAAGAAGCACACATGAAAAATACTTAACAGGAAAATTCTAATGTAATTCTACCATCTGGAAGCAGCTAAATTTAGCTCTTATGTGAAAATTTTTTATTTTTGAAAACATATATATGTAAATATGTGCCTAAACAAATTTGGATCATTGTATATTCCCAATTTCTGGGTGTTTTTTTTTACTCAATTTTATACACAGAACATTTCACATGTAATTAAAAATTCCATACCTGAATAGTAT